CCGTGGCCCGCGTCGCTGCTGCCCCTAGTCTAACCCCGAGAGCCGTCAGCGAGCAGTTCTAACCCCCTCTCTGATCCACTAACGCGACCCCGTGCGTCGGCGGCTGCGGAAGCACCGACCTAACATGCAAAACGTGTTTTACTCCGACACCCGTGCCGCCCGCGTGGCTCCGGACCTGTGAGGAGCCTTAATGATCGAAGTCCAGTGCCCAGTGCCCGTGTCAGTTGTAGTTCCGAGCCCTGACACGCGTGTGCTTCCCCGACCCGTGTGCGTGCGTGTGAGCGTGTGTTCCCCGAGGGCAGTGTGGTCTGGCTGCGTCCACGTTTGTGCAGGGCGCAGCGCATTCAGGAATGAAGCAGAGGGGCCGTCCGCATCGGCCGTTCCTCTCCCGGAATTTAATCCGCAAACTCAGGACACTCGCCAACAACCTGTCCCTCCACCCGACCCCAGGAAGAAACGGAAAGATGAGGGCCCGGCTTTTGGACTCTGTTGTGTTTTTTGCTTGTTTTAGGTTTTTGGTTTCTTGTCTTCCTTTTCCCACGGACTGTGGACGCCTCTGGGGGAAAGCGGACCATTAAGTAAACGTGTAAATGGTCGTCACGCTTGGTTTCCCCGCCTGGGAATCGGCTGGAGGAATTTTACGCTGTTGCCACGCTGGCGGCGTGTTGCCTGTGGTGATGGAGCAGCTGGGCCCGGAGCGGGTCAGCCCGGGAGCAGTGAGAGGGGACGGGCCGGCGTCCCTGGCGCCTCGTCCCTCCTGCCTGGTGCCTTGTTCAGGTGTGACCGCTCCAAAACGTTAACTTTACAACCACCCTCATCGCCCCTCGCCGTCTGGGCCACGCAGTCTATGCTACGGAGGTGCCAACGTGAGATTCTCACCCGGGGCCCGTGCGGGTCCCATCCTGTCCTCGCTCCGTGTGACCGTGTTCGTTCAGACGTCACGTGGCACGTGGAGGCGACGGACATCACACCTGCCGAGACACCGAGTTTGGGGATGAGTTCCTGTTCCCCTCCCGCCCCCGCCCGCCCCCAGCACCGGGCGGGACAGTGACGCGACGGTGGCCTCCTCCTCGCAGGGAACTGGGGTGACGCAGGACCCCCAGGCCCGACACCCCGCGGCCACTCCCGGCCATTTGAGGTCGTTCTGTTTACTTGGCGTTTGCACTTGTCGGCTTTATTTATTGACGCTTTGGCCCCCGTGTCTGACAGCTGAGCGTGGAGACACACCGGCGACCTGATGACGTGTGCGGACGTGGGAAGACGGTGA